AAATACTTATGATGGACAGTGGCTTAGCAACTTCATCTGCCAGCTCCTTCAGGACCTACAGGTGGATTTCATTAGGTCCCGTGGTCTTGTGTACATTCAGGTTCTTAAGATGATCTCGAACCTGGCCCTCTCCTACAGTGGGCCTAAGGTCTTCATTCTCCCAGTCCCTGCATCTGCCTTCCAAGATGTGGGCAGTGTGGTCAGAGCACTTGCCAGTGAAGACTGAGGCAAAGAAAAGAAGTCATTGAGGACCTAAGAAGTCATTGAGACCTTGATGAGCTTGTTAGTGTAGACCCATCTCTGTGCCACAGTAACCCATTCCTTCTTCCTTGCTTGCCAGCCGAATACCAGAGCAGTGTCCAGGAGAAACTGCCACTCATCATTGGCTCCTCTGCGGCAGGACTGGTGTTCCTCATTGCTGTGGTCGTCATCATTATTGTGTGCAACAGGTAGGTCAGTCTGAGCCCATGACCGGGGCTGGGGCTGTACAAGGGGGTGGTATCTGGAGGCAGCGGGTGGCGGGGAAGGGGAGAATGGGGTTGGGAAGATGAAGAGGGAAGGATGCCCCTGCAGTGCATCTTCAGCCCCAGTGGAGTCGTGCTGGTGCTCAGTTCTCCCTTTCTTTCCAGAAGACGTGGCTTTGAGCGCGCAGACTCTGAGTACACCGACAAGCTGCAGCACTACACCAGTGGCCACAGTACGTACTGCGGCCCCCCGCCAGGCCTGGGGGTCCGCTCTCTCTTCGGTTTGTGTTCCTGTTCACTCATTCCTTGCAGCATGTGGGGAGCACTCAGGCCACCTGGCCAGGCAGGCATGTGCATGTGTAGACAGGAGGACCTGTGCCATCTAGATCACCCAGCAGTCCCCTGTGATCTAGATCCTTGTCCCACTCTCCAGCCCTGGGTGCTGTTGCATGCCAACCACGCAGCAAACATCTGTGCATGCCCTACCAATCCCTGTGACATCCAACACGCACCTCTGCAGCTGCTGGCACTACACCTTGTCTTGCTGTGCTGACTCCTGAGCTTTGCCCAGCTTGTGGGCAGCAGTGAAGACCCCTTTCTCAACCTACTCACCTCCTGCAGAGCACTGTCCTTCTGCAGGAACCCACGTACCTCATGGTCCTTTGCTAGAGCCCACCCTAACGCTCCCAGAATCCTAGTAGATACAAGATATATCTCTATACAGGTATCTAATACAACACATAACATGCCCTCTCCTGCAGCCTCCTCCTTCCAACACCCCTGTGTACTGCAAGGCACATCTGCTTTCGCACCCTGCCTCACCCCAGTGCATCCTTCTTCCCCTCATTAACCCCTTGCTGTATGCCCTCTGAAATGTCTTTCTTCTCCCTCATCTGTCACTATAATCCTGTTTTGTTCAAATCTTAGTCGTTATTTATATCATGTTATACTTGCAGCTTCAGGATTTCTGAATACCATGTACCTGTACAGCCCTGGGCCTTCTTTAGAGAATGGAAAACATCAGTAGTGTTTCAGCACAGGACTCACTGTTGCTTCTGCATTTACCTGAGGCAGAGCACTGAACTGCAGCTCTGTGCCAGAGCAGCACTATGCTTGCTGCATTGCTATAACTTACCAGGAAAAATGACACTCAAGAAAGATTATGGAAATGCAAATCTCAGTTGTTTGTCAGCCCATGCTGCATGTGTAAACATACATTCACGCTTTCTCCTGGGGTCTGGTACGTAACATGACAACTTCAGGCTGTGATGGCATTAATAGCTGTTGGAACAGGCACAATGCCACTGGATGCAGATGAACTGATAATGGGCCTGAGGTGCCTTTTAGTCACATTGACACTCAAGACACCAGTCCAAGGCACAGCGCCTGCTCGGCTCCCCAGCAGTGATTGCTGTGGAGAGGCTACAACTTATGGTTAGCAATTGCCAAGGCACATGGAGCCTGTAAGCATTGCAGGAACTACCCTGAATCCTACCAGCATCCTACACATGGAGCCAGGAGTTGTGCCTCTGGTTGCGTTGGGCTCCTTTTTTAGTGAGCTGTGAGCTCTGCTCTCCAAATACAGCAGCATGCAGAGGAGGCCAGTGGGGCAGAGCTGCAGTCTCTACAAATGGTCCTCTTGCAGTGTTGCAGCATGATGAGTGTGGTGTGACATTGGTGTGACATTGGTGTGCCTGTCCACCTGATCCTGAGATCAAATGCTTCTCTTGCTTTTCCTCTGGATCTGCTAAAGCCAAATCCTGCTGCAGAGGATGTGTGGTTCTCTGTGGTCAGAGTTTGAAATCCTAGCTGATCATTTAGCCCTCCACTGCCCTACAATGACTTACGGGCCAATATTCGTTATAATCCAGATTTAATAGTCCTGTGCAAACATGGCTCTGCATGTCTTCTCTCAAACTGCTTTGCTGTGTCTGCTTCATGCCCTTGATGATGTGACTTGCTGAGGTACAAAAGCCCTCATACAAATAGGTTTCTCTTTTCCTTGATGACAGCCATCAGTCATTCCATTTGCATATCTCTCTGACTCTTTCC